CCAATGGCCCGCACATCGCAGAAGCACTAATGAAAATTAAGCTCAGCCTGCTGTATGCCCATAACCCTGAAAACCACTACCCGTTGACCTATCGCTTCGGGAATGGGATCTCACTCAGACTTTCTAAGTATTCCATCCCTGGGGAGTCAGCTAATGGGTACAAAACTAATTTGCAAAGCTCTGACTTGCACATCGATTGGTCTCATTATCAGGGCTCATCTTGCTGAAAGTACCTGTGAGGGAGACGTATTCTAGCCGCTGGGGAGAGGGGTCATATTTGCGGTACGCACTGACGGGTACAAAGGATAGGTGGGATGGATGTTTACCTCCCTCAAGGTTCGTCTCTATGTTCGTCTTTGTGCCTGGCGTAAATTTGGGTAGCAACAGTGGCAAAGGGACGTGAACTATTTAGGGGGAGGGTGCGTAGTAGAGTTCGTGGGGCGCTGCTGGGAGATGGACGAAAAATCTCCGCTGAAAATTCCTGTCCATAGCGACTATGTGTTCTGCTAAATAAAGACAACGCTCACTAGGGCACGTCTCTGGGCGTTGGGAGGGGGATGTCTGCAAAATACGACTTCTCTAATCTTTCTTCTCCGAAGCGACCGCCTCCCTCAACCTTATATTCTCTCGAAATGTTGCTGTGGTGCAGGAAGGGCAGGTACCCGATAAACTATAAAAATTAGTATAGTTTTGCCTCGCTGCTGACTAGGAGGGGGTACATTGGAAAAGGAAAAGCAACAACCAGAAAAAACGCTTCGCTGATCGATTCTTCACTTGCGCGTAGTGAGATCAATCGATACGTATCTAATACTTTCCGATTCAAGCGAATGGTCCAAAGAAGAAACCCTACCGTTAGAAGCGATTTTCCCATTCAATTTCTTCTCATCCGCTATCCCTTTTTGTGGCGATTTCACGGGGCTTGTCTTATTGCTCTGGTTGTGATTTTTCTGATCCTGATGCTTCTTTCGTATATCCGCAATGAACTCTACCCGATCCTTAAATGATAACTGATTAGAAGATTTTAGGAAAAGTTTTAGGAAGTGAAAATAGCACAACGGACGAGTTAAGTCCGGTACCTGGACAAAATCCGGCTCAGATGCGGCGTCTTCGTCGACGCGCTTAGCCGGAGGTGGCGCGGATGGCCTTTGAATGGGTTGAGGGGCTGAAAGAACAGAAGCATTCGTTGAATTAATCACTATATATTGAAGGAA